TATCGTACTCGGTACAAGTACAAATACAGATACTTTTCGAGCTCCAAGACTAGACTAGAGAAAAATTTAAAAGTATGGAGGCAGCTGTCATTTGTAAGGAGCATACAGAGCTTGTGGGATTTGTACATCTTAATGTACGATTTTGGTTTTAAAAATATAAATAAAGGGATGCACCGATACCAGTTTTACAAGTACTTATACTTGTCCAAGTACTCATAGATACAAATACTGATACATTTTTGTTTATTGTCATGTGACAGTTTTTTTAAAACAATACAGACTAATGATTTCAGGACAGTGGTGGAACACCAGAGCCAGGTCCCAGCTGCAACCCTGGTAGTTTTCGTGAAAATGCCAAGTATCTGCACTGGTACTCAAAGTATCAGTACAGCCCTAATAACTATACACGCACACTCATTTACCAAATGCTATATTGCCTAATGCGAAACATTTTTTACAAATGATTTGGATACGTTTGGGCAAACAGCAACTCCTTTTCTAACCACATTACTGCATATACATGCATTCCCTGTTTAAAATAAATGCATTAAAAAAACAGTTTAAAGTGTATAAACAATAATTCAAAAAGCGAATATAAAACCGACCCCAGTCTGTAGTTTCCCTTTAAACGGAGTGCACATAGCTTAGAGATTACCAAGTCAGTGAACACTGTAAGGGGTGGTGAATGAACAAATTTATAAATGTCTTTATATTTTAAAAGAAACAGCACATTCTGGTACACTTTCCTCCTGAATAGCAAGATATTCATAGCAGGAGTAAACAGGATTACCTGATGGGTCATTAAGTTATAAGAAAAAAAAAGTCTGCAGATTTTGGATTTCTTCCTGTCAAAGCCACAACAATAATCAGTTTTAATCAACCAATAAACAAAAGATTTGACATTACCATATTTTTACGGAACAATTTTTACTATTCTTGGGTTAGCCTGCTTGTATCCAGATTGGTGTTGCATAGTGATGGCCCAGTTGTACTTGGTCCATACAAGCTCTGATGTTGGACTCGATGCCATGAAGAGTCAGGTCCCGTCCTGGGATCTTGGCGCACTCTCTGAGGTCTAAGCTTTGTATAGAGCAGAACCTGTGGCTGTAATCACAGTGGCCACTGGCACACCCCCAGATGTCCTGTACACTCCTAACCAGTGAATGAGCTCTGAAAAGCCCACTCTTTACTGCAAAGAGGTTGCTGATCTGGAGTGTATAGGGGTGGCCTTCACATTCACTGATCAATATGTGCCCCAGGGTGCCACACATTTCTCAGCTCTTATCTGCTACACAATGAAGGGAAATCAGTGTTGTAAGTCAAGGCAGATAGTAAAAACACTTGGCCTCTGTGCATGTCACACTGAGCAGTTTCAGACATTGCACCTATTGACACCGTAAAGGATGTTATTGAGCTCTGTAAATCACTGACTTTTTATTTCCCTAAGCTCCTTACTGAGCAGATGGAGCAAGGAAAACCCTGCTGATGTTCCCATGGCACACTTAGAGCTATGTGCAAGGCATAACATTAACCATTTGACAAAATCCATTTAGGTGTAGTTTTGTGTAAAACAAATAAATAAAGAAAACGTTTCAAAAATAAACTGTCCAAAAACAGATTTTCAAGCAGAAAATTTGTACCTATCAGAAAACATGATTTTTATACGAGAACTAGATTTAAAATGACCATCTGTTACCGTCATCCTATTTTAAAGATCTGTCAGTGATCGTTTCCTTTTGTACAAATGCCCCGTTACGGACATTGTGCCAGGCTTCTGAGCCTATATTCAAATTCTGCCTGGACCAGGTCCAATTGTCTGTTTGGTCTTCGGTTCATAACTTTGCAGCCTATATTACCTCTGTGGTTCATTGCCATCATTTATGTTGATAACACTTTCCTCGGCATTTGCTTCTGCTGCTAATCTTTTGTAGTCTGTATGAAAAAAGATGATCACCAGGCAAGCGCCGATGCTGCATAAACCAGCCATTACTAAAGTTGAAACTGTTTAAAGAAAAGACATACCAATGATTAAAAACTGAAGAAGCTGATATAAGATCATCTAAAGCTGAACTCCAGGCAAACAGGTGAAATTCATACTGTATACAGGAACTGTATTACCTGCCAAAGGATTTGGATTTTGGTCCATGTTTACAAAGCTCTGCAACATGGCACAGCCCTATCTGGCAGGGAAAGGAACCTGAGCTTTCCAAACTGCAGATAAGTACCGTAATATGCCTAGCTCTTGCCCTTCCCCTTCTCTAGCCTGTAACTGGACAATGAAGGAGAAGCAGGAGACAGATGAGCTTATCTCCCTGATTTTTCTTCTGTATACTCCTATCAGCATGTACCTTGTTAGCACATAAATACTATAGTACAACCTACTGGATCCTTGTTACTGCTTCTCCCTACCCCAGTCTGAGTTATGCTGTACAGGGACTGCAAGAAGCTGATACCAAGTCAAACTCAGGTACTTACGCTGATTGCATGAAAAATACACTTAATGATCAATTAGTGTTTGGACAACAATGTAAAGAAATACTTTAATCTGGATTCATTATTGAAAACATATTGGAGAGTTTAATACTACTTTAAATACATTCCTCTATAGCTACAAAGTGAATAAATACCATTTGTGTACCTTGTAAAACTAACTGTGATATCATCACTTTGCTGTGCATTGCTTGTAAACACATCAAAGCTGTGGGAGGGATGCAACAGGCCCCACCCACTACAGACTGCCTTCAGAAAACTACAGGAGGGGGCAGATACAAGACCAGTCACCCTGAACAAGAAGAGAGAGCAGCAGTGACCGGTCTTTATTGCAGGAAGTTCATGCACAGAGGAAAAGTTTCACACTGGATTACTGCACAGATCTGGAAGAAATACACAGAGCACTTGGCTCTTGTATATAGACAATATTTGCTTCTCGCGGAGTTCAGTATTTATAAGAATATGTCTCCCTCAGTCAATGTACGCAAAAAGCAAGATATAAAAAATGACAACATACTTGACCAGTCATATATTTCTATCTGATTCACGCCACATGAAGATAGCGGAGGAGCAGCGTAGGGCTTGGCAAGCATCTGAAGCAGCACCATGAAGATTAATCCCTGGACCTGACTTGGGATACAAAAACAACAATTTCCAATTTTTATTCACAATTGTTTTAAAACAAATCTACTGTAAAATCAAGTAATTCAAATCTTTTTTAAAGGCAGTGGAAAGCGAATTTACCAATGACCAATGTAATAAGTTCATGAAAGGTCCTATATTGATGGAAGGGATGTCTATCAATCCAAAATCAATATTAGGCAACTATCCCATGGGTATCCACCCCAATGTAGGAATTCAGTGCAATTCACCTTTCTCAGGAACCAAAGACAGAGTTCAGGGAAAACTAGTGAATTAAAAGCCCTTTACACATGTGTAGGGATGTGTCAGAGATCCCTTGGCAGCAGGAAAGAAGTTAGGCAGGGCAAGATGGGTATGGATAACTTCATGTCCATTAAATAAAGGACACTTGTAGGCCACTAGAAGTTAGTTTCCTGTGGCAGGAGTCTGGATGCTGCCATTTCAGTAAGTACACAGAGGCTAGGCACTGCACTGGATGGAATATACGCTCCCTTACATACACTCTTTTCAGACACTAGAGGTCATATGTTGTAAGGATTCACAGTGTGCCTTGGTCATCAGCAGCTACATTGAATAACATGCTTAGCTACTAAAGCCAGACATTCTGTAGCTATCTCCAGATAATGAAATAAATCATTTGCTTAGCGATTTAGCTACAATTTTCTTGGAATTTTTGTGACCCTCTTTAATTGTCTACAATACATTGTTTCTAGGAACAAAAGCACTAAGCAAAACGATACTGTACTATTTAGGGCTTGTTCACACCATGTCCAGACCAGAACAGTTTGATCCTGGACCAAAAAAACATCCCAATGTATCCCTATGGTATTTCTGGGTTCCAGTCCAGACAAAAAAAATACTGCTTGTCTAATTTTCTCTGGTCTGGAATGCACTGGAACGCATCAAAACACATAAAAACGCACTGGACTGCACCTGAAAGCCCATTTTAAGCTACAACAGTGAGCCTTAAACGAGCACTCCTCAAAACCATTATGTGACAGGGGAAACTGCTGGTGTGTGCATATGCCACTCTCCTTCTCCAGATTATCTGCATAGCAAAAATATACACAGCTGTCTAAGATGAGTACAGACATTCCTCACTTACCGACTTACCTGTTTTGCGACCACTCGCACTTACGCCCGACCTCCGACCTTACGTGCGGGAACGTGGCAGCGGCTGTGTGACGTCTCGCCGGAGGAAGTGATGTACTCCGTTCTTCACTGCGGGTCTTGTTAAGTATTTTATTGCCCGATGTACAGTACACTGGTCAGTACTGTACATCTGCAACACTATACAGTACTGTACTAATGCAGCACAGTACTGTATAGAGTTCCTCACTTAACGACCAATTCATTTAACGACCTGGTCGTAGGAACGGAACTTGGTCGTTAAGTGAGGAATACCTGTATTCAAGTTTATAGAGTAGCCAGCAGATGGCTGGAGGACGATTCAATCTTGCGTGCATGTCAAGCCAGCCTCTTATATCTATGGTTGGCATAACAGTGAGCAAAAAGTAGGAGAACAGGGACGGGTTTTCAGCAGATAGACAGCATGGAATGTGTCTAACAGTCCACAGTCATATCATTGGTATAAATACTTGGAAGGGGAAAGAAAGCTCTAGACTCATGTGGTTATTCTGTTGGTGTTTCTCATTCAATAGTGGTAAAGTGATGTGAATATGTGTGATCTGGCTAACGGGTAGGCAACTTCCACAAGCCAAAAGATCTCCACAGTATCCTTGGCTCAACAGTGAACACGGTAGAGGTAGGAATTGAAGCTCCACACCAATTAAAATAGTCCAGATACAACTTTATTCCATTACGGTCAGGGGACATTCAAGTAGAGCAGCCAAAGCATTTCAGGGGTCCAAAAAAACACCCACTTCATCAGAACCTAATGAGAGAAGTCATGTATGCGGACTACAATCCCTGAAGCTTGGAAGTTGTATTGAGTTGTGATGGGATTACTTGGCAGCCAAACCAGTTTCTGACGAGCCTGACGTACTCCTGAATACCTAAACATTGTTCAGGTATCATATTTATCCTCGTCTATATTCTAAACAGGTATGTTTTTTAGGGAAGATTTACATTTTGCAGTGGTTCTCTGGTATCTATCCCATCCCTTTAAAGCTCATATCCAACTTGACCTGTGCCCCAAAGGGTACATGTTTTTTGGTACTTGTATGTGGCAATAACCAGGAGCCTGCCATGCTGTGTGCCTAAAGCAGATCTTTATTCTAAAATTTTACTCTTACCCACTGCAACCCTCCCCTCTTCTGAGATTTGAAAGGGAATGTATTTTTTTCCTGTTAGCTTACTTTTTTTTTAAAAAGAAAAAAGATTCTGGCCCCGTCCCTCGTCACCATTCTTGCCTGGTGAGAATTATGTGTCCTACTCCAACAGCCTCCTGGAACATCCTCATCACATATTCCAGGAAGCTTCAGGTGTAAGGACACAGAGTGGCATGCATCATCAGGGGCTGCCTGTCTGAACCCAGAGGAGGCAGCTGGGTAACAATAACTGAGGAGGACCGAGCTGGCGGTGCAGGACCCAGAATGTGTCCCCTGAACGGTAGATTGAAGTGGCAAAACGCTGGAAAAGCTCGGCAGGGGAATGAGGACAATGCTGCACAAAAGGTAAGACAGGTCAAACAAATCTGAAGTGGGGAGTGAAGTTCCTTTTTTAAAATGCTCCTATATGTTTGAATTAACTTCCGAGATTATATTAGAACTGAGGATTGGTAGTTCGTCCGAGATTGTAGACCATTACGGGAGTGAGCTTGGAGCGGTGACTAATTTACAACACACACAGGGACCATGGGAAAGAAAAGTAGCCACCCTCCAGCTTCTAACGGTGTAAAATAGCCACTGCATACATTTATAGTAAGATAGTAAATATTGTGTATTATTTATAGTATGAAACATTGGTTGCTCTTTGTTTATGGGCAGTCATTAACAGACAGGTAAAAATGTCACTGTGGAACAGCTTATATAACAGTCTCACTTACCCAGAAATAAAAGCCAAACCCGTAGAACTTCCTTCTCCAACTGGGTAGGAGCACTCCACTGCTAGCTCCATTGCAATGGGATATTGTCCAAAACAAAAAAAGCCAAGCACAGAACATATGACTGCCAACAGAACAGGCTGGTTCCTGAAATTTGACATCTAGGTATAAAAACAATTCTGTTGGTCAGATACTGTCGCAAAGCATGTTGGAAACAAAACCCTTTTACCCTTTGACAATAAACTCCAGAGCTAAACCTTAAAAAAGCCAATGCTCCAAGCTCGCTCCCATGATAGACTACAATCTCATGTTTAGTTTACTCATTTGTATTGAGATTGTAGTCCATCACAGGAGTGAGCTTGGAGCGATGACTACTTTACCACACACACAGGGACCATGAGGAACAAAAGTAGCCCCCCTCCAGAAGGAAGGACAGTGTCAGCACAAATTCAGAGATGATTTGAGGATCTACAGGTGAGTGATACACAAATAAGATACATTTTTGTTAATTGTTAAGGTGCATTTTTAAGGTTTAACTCCTGAGTTTAGTGTTACTTGAATACAAATCTGCCTTCAACTGAGTGATTGGTGATCTCTTCATTCCTATCAGCAAATAATGCAACATTGCCAAAAATCCATTATTTCCCAGTTTCACCTTCTGGTGGCACTGTGCTCCAATGGCTGGCTGCATGTGATTCCTATAGCTGCAACAGGTGTCTTCTTGCACTCTATGCATGTCTGCAATAAATCCATACCTCACTGCTGAAGTCTTTATATTCCAGCTCTCCTGCAATCACACCACCTTTCACCCTTTTTCTTGTTGCTCTTGTAGTCCTGTATCCTACCTGACCTGCTAGTTTTAGCCCCGTCCTGCTCTTACATTGCCAGCACAGAGGTTTACACAATTTGCTTTTCCACTAGATCATTGTTATTTGTCCTGATTTGTTGTATGTTAGCTAATCGTTACCTTTTTTGTTTGTTTGTTTGTTTGTTTGTTTCTTGTGTTTACCTGCTTACTCTCATTTGCAGCACTGTTTTATTGTCACTAAAAGACAGTGCACGTATTCCGGAATATGTGTTTCCCAATGACAACTTACATTTCTGGTTAGACCTCACTAACCTGATTCTTGTACTGGTTTCCTGCCATGAACAGAATGGGTTTTCCCTCCCATCAATCTTATTCTATGTAATGCCAAGCTAACTTTCAGAGCTTCAGTTTTAGAAGGAAAACAAATGGTGATTTCCTTAGCTCTGGTTGCAGGAAGGTTTATCCTCCAAAACGTAGGCTTTTTGATGGTTTCTGCACTAGACAAACATGATCATCCTTTCTGAATTGCACATAATATGGATTGGGAATGATTTCTCTGGATCTAGGATAGGTTCACTAGCCTGTCTGATCAACTGTTCTCACAGACAGCAACCAGTGGTATCAGGGACCTACCACAGTCATCAGATCATGGAAAACTGGCAGGTTTGGTGGCTATCAGTGCATGTGTACTGGTAGTTTTAAACCACGGCTGGCATTCTATAGCAATTCATTCACTAACACTAAAGGCAGCTAGGTTCTCTTGTCTTAAAGTGGTTCATATCAGCATTTAGTAGCCTGTGTTCAGCTTTTAAAAGTAGTACATAGGTTATTTAAATTAAAACATAATTTATACACAACAACCAATGCTTACATGAAGACTTTCCTTTAATATGCATGTTACCAACGGGGTGACTTATAAACCGTTTGAACAGCGAACAGCTATTCAAACAAGGATTGCAGCACATTATTATTGTTCTCATAGCTATTCACTGTGCGAATGGTTTATAAATCCCCCCTAGAGCAGGCTTAGGCAAACTTTGGCCCTCCAGCTGTGGTAAAACTACAAATCCCATTGGGCATTACAAGACCCTGACAGCCACAGGCATGACTTCCAGAGGCAGATGCATGGTGGGATTTGTAGTTTCGCCATAGTTAGAGGGACAATGTTTGGCTACCACTGTTCTAGAGTTTCATTTGTAACAACCATACTTACCACAGCAAATGCTGATAACGACACTGCTGTCAAAGCAAAACATATTTTGACAACTTCGATAAACTTCTTGGTCCGGTCAACATAAATGCCAAATATCAGAGCTCCAATAGCCCCCGCAAGGATGAACAGAGCTCCACACAAGCCGGATATATACTGCAAGACAAAGTTGAAAAGTTTAGGATTACAAATGCTGTGTGCATGTTTTTTAATGACATGCTTTTATTGCCAAGATTCAATATAAACATTCCCACACAGATTCCACTTTGCTGTCTGTCATTGGTAACTCTACAGCCAATCCCTAGTAACACTATAATTCTATATTGGCATATTTACTGTAAAAGTGAGCAAACGGCCTTTCAGACTGGACTATGAGGAGAACTGGAAGGCTCAGCCTTGGGGAAGAATGCTGGTATTACTCACCTAGCACAGCTATGCCTTGCTGATACACTCAGATACTTCCAGCAACTTCAAACTAAGAGGGTTATTCAAAAAGGAGCCAAAGGATCCAGCCGTAGCTTTGACTGATCCTTCGGCTCTCTTTGGCCACCAGAGCCCTTCGATTCAGTCGAACTCAAGGGCTGCTGTATGGGCTAGTCACTATAGCCTGTACAGCAGCCGAAGGCGGGGCGAACGGCTTGTTGTAACGCCCAGTTGTAATGGCAGATTAGCGTCCCCAAATGACCTGGGGACGCTGAACTGTCATTAAACAACAACACTGGGCGGAGCCGGCCTTGACGTCACTTTTTTTTTTTTTAACTATTCTCATTGATTTGCTATGTAATGCTCGGTACCACAGATAATAGCCGAGCCGAATGCCACTCGGCGGCATTCAGCTACTCACTCACTGCCGCTTGGCCCTTATGAGAATAGGGGCGAACGGCAGTGAGTGAGCTGCCGGAGCTTCAGCTCAGCCGATCCAGATGTTGGATCAGCTGAGTCGAAGTCCTTCTGCACTTTGGCTCAGCCGAACATGCAGAGCTAGTAACTAGGACCCGAAGTGCAGCCAATGTACGGCTTGATATCAGGAGATGTTCTGCTGAAATCGTCTCACTTTACTGCGGCTTGGTTATTCACTCGGCTGCCTTCGGCAGCTATGAGAATAGCCCCATAAGTTTAATCTTCCAAGATCTATGCTTTGATTTTAGATTTTTCCATTCCAGCTCAGCCATGCTTTTAATAGTTAAACTACAAAAGCTTACTGGCCTTACAGTACACAAAATAGAATTGATTTCACTTATATCTTGTTCTCACTTTAAGAAAGGTCTTGTATGTAAAATATATAACACTTTAATTACTTATGGATCGGCAATGGCTTGAAGCATTGCAAAGAATTCCTCAGATGCTGATATCCCCCTCCCTAAGACTTATGTATTTATTCCTGCTACGCAGGGTGTATTGGTTCCCCCCTCAGAATGTACGACTATTCTCACGTACTCATCATTACGCCCTCATCCACGTGTTCTGGAGGTGCCCAAACTGGTTTGCTACTGACAGGACATGCTTGATTTTGTTAATCATGCTTTCCATCTTCAGTGTTACCTTAAACCAAAGATTGGTATCCAGTGAATTTTGGACCTCCCTTTTATAGATCCTAACCTAGAATTAGCAGTAACTAGGACCCAATAATTGGGGCCAGGAAAGCATCCCAACTCCCACGGACCACCTTTGAGAGATGAGGTGAGTTCCATCCAGCATTTAGAAAGTTTAACTTATACTCCAAAAGGTAACTCTCAAAAATGTGAGATCTGGAAAGGATATTTCAGTGACCCTAACCTCGAAACCCTTGCTTTAGGTATGAACATACTATTTGGAAAGTACTGTAAAGGCTCTATAGTAGACACATGATATACAGTATGTTTTCTAATGAAAAATATCTAACACATCACTATGCGTGATTGGTAAAATAACAAGAACACAAACCATTTATTATTTCAACAATATAGTGTATGCATCAAAAAAAGCTTTCTTTTAGTAATATTTTCTTCAAATAATTTATTTTTCTAGAAATGCAAACGGCAAAAAGAAAAAATAGATTTTTTTCCCCAATTTGACCAGTGATGATTTCAGAAACAACTAGTGTTAGTAAAGATACAAAGTGCCAATTTTATTTATTGACTTGTTCTGTTCCACATGAGACAAAAATTATGTCAGAGACAAAAAAAATGTCAGACTGAAACCGAAAATTATTTTTTTTTTCTAACCTTTTTACATTTTTTGAATAATTGTATTTTTTATTATTTTATATTTTATTTGTTTACTTAATTTATTCATTTTTTATTTTATTTTTTTACCAAAAATGTTTTATTTTTTATTTTGCATAGTAGTACATAGAATATTGCAGAAAACACCAAAAAAGTGCACAATGTGGATATACATGTAACATACTGGGTATTTTTATTAAATGTAAAGCGTCTTCTATTGACTTTTTGGGGTACTGCAGTTTTTCGCCGTTTCACGGACGCACGCAATTTGTAACCTATGCATGTTGGGTATCGTTAATACTCGTTGTAACCTCATCTTTTATATGTCATTTAAAAAATTGGTATTTTGTTGTGTTTTGGGTCATTAAATTAAATTTTTCACTAAATGTGGGGGTTTAATAAGGAGTTGCGCTAATATTGCGCAACATAAAAATTTGCAACTACCACCATTTTATTCTATAGGGTCTTGGCATTCAGAAAATATATAATGTTGGGGGGTTTTAAGTCATTTTCAGGCCTAAAATGTGGAATATAACATGGGTGCAAAAAATGAAAAAAGGGCCTCAGTCATGAAGGGGTTAAGTTTCCTGCTGGGGGCTACGGGGAAATATCAGGGGTCTAAACAGACCCCTGATATTTCCCTTTTACAATAGAAAAAGAGATCTTTTTCTGCAGCCCCTGTTATAAATGAACAGGAATCCCCTATACTGAGTGCCCATGTTCATTCATAACTTGTGGATATAGTATGAGTTACTAGGTACACAATCATGAATGAACAGGAAGTGATATAGATCACTTCCTATTCATTCATAACTGGTACATGGTAACTCATACTATGTCCAGCTATTTACAAACATTCAGCGATTACTGAATGTTTGTATACCGCTCTCCATCCTGACTTCCACTGTCACTAGAGGCTGAGCGGGCGATGTGGGGAGGAGAGCTCGGTCTCATTTGACAGCTGACTTCTCCCCCTCACCGCCGGTTCGGTGTCCAGTGACAGCTGTCTCCACCCACAAACCGCTCTTGTGATCTATTACTAGAGGCTGAGTGGGGTGGTGCGCCGTGCTCAGCTCCTGACAGTTTCTCTCCTCTCTGCTGGACGCTGCGCTGTATCAGAGCGGACACAGAGCAGCGCCCAGCGGGGAGAAGGGAAACCATGCATGCACTGTAATTTCAGAGGAGGCTGACATTTCGGTGAATCCCCAATTTATACTACAAAAAATGAACAAACAGAGTGAATGAAACCATAGAAACATTGCCTAAGCATCTTGCCCATCAGTCTGACAGTTGGTACTACCATTTACACCCGTGCATGTGTATACAAGAGAAGGGTTGTGGGACTTATGTGTGATGTTAAATCACTGCTCCTTTAAAAATTGTATTTTTTAAAAGTGTTTTTTTCATTGATACATGTCCCCCAGGGCAGTACCCGGATCCCCATACACTTTTTATGGCCAATAAATTGCATATAAGGCTTCAAAATGGGGACATTTAAATTTCTGAGTTCTACCCCCATAGACTTGCATTGAGTTCTAAGTTCGAGTTAGAACTTTTTCCATGTTCGAAAGTTCGAGTTAGAACCGAACACGGGGGTGTTCGGCTCATCACTACTCTTTATCTCATTAAGTCATACAGCAATTCAGAACTAATGCTTTTGCTAACCTAAAACAGAAATTGCACATCAGATAACTATTTGGCCAGCACAAATAAAGGTGTCCATACATATATAGGTTGAACTCGATGGACTTGTATCTGTTTTCAACCGGACTAACTAAGTGACTAACTATGTAACATATTGATTTTGGGGCAGATGAGGTTGTTTTGTCCCAACTTTTTTTGAATAGTAAAGTATAGGAAGGAGAACCTTAAAGCAAACATGTCTTTTCCAGTAAAGGCAACGCAACAGTTTGCTTTAATCCTCCTTCCCCCACGTTCCCCAGGAGCACATTCTTCCTTTCACTTTGCTCCCCTGCTGCTCCGTTCAGTTACTAGAAAAAAATTAACTACCCAGTACTTCTTGATATGAAGGAGCAGGTTACTCACACCATGCGACTGCACTGGCTTTGATAGCACCAAGGCTTTGATAGTGGGAGAGTCTATAACCCTGTAATGACTTGAAGGTCTCATAGATTACAGGACAGTTTCTCCTCCTCCTGGCACCTGGACGAAGGTGTGGGGAAGGGAAAGAAAGGTGAACTTGAGGTACAGAGGTCAGTAACTTTGCCTTGCACTTTAATATGGACTGGCCCTTTCATAAGCTTCAAAGCACTGAACATCCTACTTGAGTAAATAAGCGGAAGGAAAAAACACAACATTGCTTACATTTGGATATCCTCTGAAGCACAGTATTTGTTCCAAGAATGAGGAAAATGCTGTAAAGATCCCCAAGCCAGATCCAAAGGAAATCATTAGGATAATGTAAGCTTTATTTTTCAAGAGCTGCAAAACATATTAAATATAGTAAATGCCACTATGTTACAGCACATTAATACATACATCTGAAGGCTAATCTCAGCAGGCATCAGTTCTAGGAAATAGCTTTCCTTGGCATGTAGCATCTATACAACGAATGAGCAATCCAACCAAATTTATTTTTAATCCTAGCCACAGTTAGTAGTATTCTAAAAGAAAACCTTTGCTGAAAAATAGGGAGGCCTGCACTATTTATCTCTTCTTCAAAAAACTCACTGACTAGGAACAAGTATGCACATAAGGCATTCTCACTTCATTTGCTGCATGCTTTTGTTTGAGTCATTGATTCTGCTGAAACCAGAGACAGCCAGAGCTCAGAAGGAAATCAGCAATAGTAGCACCCATATTCCCCTAGGAAAAGTTTCCTTTAAAGTGGACTTATACTTAAAATCTAACATTTGTCTTCTCAACAGGGATCCATAAGTACCGTTTAATGTGACAAACCAACCAAAAAACAAATGTACCCTAAAGCCTATCTAATTCAAGAAACCTATGCACCAAACTCAGACCCTCTGCATTCAGTCCTAGTACGCATGTAAACAGCCAGCCTACCATTGATTCCTACAGGCTGGCTGCACCCAGCTGTACAGTGGACCTGTTACTCCCGGAAAGAGAAATACATCGGCATGTGCACTGTACAGCCCTCTTGCGTCTGTGTGCAAGAGCCCCAATGTGTAAAAGTTCTATTATTTTGTAGGTCCAAAACCAAAATGTGTGTTTTATAAGAATTCTAAAGTGACACTAAACTCAAGAGTTAAATCACTCGGCTGTGGATCCTCAAATCATCTCTGAATTTGTGCTGACACTGTCTGTTCATTCTGCATTACTGTATAGAGGACTACAACTCCCAGCAATACGTTATATAGAAATGCAGCATGGTAACAACTATAGGGGACTACAACTCCCAGCAATACTGTCTACAAAAATGCAGAATTGTAACGGATATAGAAAACTATAACTCCCAGCAATACTCTCTACAAAAATGCAGAATAGTAACGGCTATAGGGGACTACAATTTCCAGCAAATACTGTCTATAAATGATGAAATTATTCTGCATTTCTGTAGAGGACTACAAATCATGTGACAGAACTTAGGCACATACAGAAGATAAAAGCCTCACCTCCTCCTCCGCAGCGGGAACACCATATAGCTGGGAGAGGCGGCAGGCTGTGTACTCAGGAAACTGCTTGCTGGGTCCTCCCGGCCGAGGCCCCAGCACTGCCTCACTTGCAGGCTGCTCTGCCTCACTCTGATCTCACTGCCGTGCGGCCGTTTGGAAATGACGCTTGACGGACAGTCGGCGGCCTGCCCCCCACACCATCTCTTGTCCTACCTTGCCTGGGTCTGCTGCGCCCCCCCCAGGCCCCGGTGCAGCATCCGATGTATTGAGAGTGCAGTCCATCACAGGAGTGAGCATGGAGCGGTGGCTACTTTACAACACATACAGGGACCATGGGGAACAAAAGTAGCCACCTTCCAGAAGGAAGGACAGTGTCAGCACCAATTCAGAGATGATTTGAGGATCTACAGCCGAGTGATGCACAAATAAGATACATTTTTGTTAATAGTTAAGGTACTTGAATGCATTTTTAAGATTTCATTCCTGAGTTTAGTGTCACTTTAGGTTCTGGTCTGGGTCCTGGAGCCCAGGGACATTGTAGAGATTTGGGTGGGATAAAGCTTCCATTCCTGGTCCACATCTTACTTGGTAACCAGAACTTATTATTAGTCTCAGCTGTCCTCAGGCCATTATTTATTTGAGCTGAATGATGCTTGGGGCTCTCTTGCTCTCTCTGCTGTGGGAGCCTACTGCTGGGCAAAATGCATGAGAACCCTAAAAAGATACAAGTGCCGCTTGTTTGCTTTAGGGAGCCCACTAGGAAGCACCTTGTTAGTCAGGAACTAACCTGCATTTAGCTAATAGCTAGGACAAGCAGATGTTATGTTTGTTTAATGATATGGTCTTGCTGCATGGGCAGTGGCCCTCCTGCATGGGTGGTGGCATAGCTTGGGTTGTCAGTGTCCAGTTATATGTGTTGGGGGATAACTATTTTTTTGTTATTATTTTTGAATATTATTATTATTTTTTTACTTAACTGTCGGGGGCTTCAGAGAAATATTAGGGGTCTACAAATATTTCCCTTTTGAAATAGAAAAAGATTCAGGACACAGAGGCCTCAATCTCTTTTTCTACAGCCCCAGCACTGAATGAACAGGAGTACTCAGTAAAGAAATGTCCTGTTCATTCACAAACTGAGAAGGCATAGTACTTTCCCCAGTTATGAATGGACAGGAAGCCTCTTTACTAAGCTGCTCCTGTCCATTCAGAAACATGGATTACTATGTCCCCCAGTCATGAATGAACAGAAAGTGAGGTGTAGCACTTCTTGTTCATTCATAACTGGGGACATAGTAAGCTTACCATGTCCTCATTTATTTACAAACACCGAGGTGTTTGCTCAGTACACAGAATGATCAGCAAATATTACACATATTTGCTGATCCTCCGCTTGTCCTCCTGAAGCTCCACCTGGCATCGCCCCCGTTCTCTATCTTGACAGTCCTGCTCGGCATCCTGACACTGCTGCCACTTCTCTCTCCTCTCTGTTGGGCGCTAGCAGCTGGATCCCTCCAATCTCCACTGCCTCTGCCAATACAGATGGGGGAGAGCAGCAGAGATTGCAGGGGTACACAGACCGCAGCTTGCAGCCAGCTCCCAGCCAGCTCCCAGCAGGGAGGAGAGAGCTCCAGAGCAGCAGAAACTTTCAACTTGAGCTTGGGCCCCCCTGCTTTCCCTATAGGGCCTGGTACGGGAGGGCCTGCAGCGCCCCTAAAAATGTTGTGCCCCGGGCAACCTCCCCCGTGGCCCTTCCCACACTATGCCCCTGTGCATGGATGCCAACAAGCATTGAATATTGTTGTTATCACTGATTACCTTACCTGCAATAAGAGTAGCAAAACAGCAAATGGTACTTGAGGACAATTTTGGTAAACATTAATTTGGGGATATTTATGAAGCAAATTAGTTACAAAATTAGATGCAAATCGATTGCAAATAAGACTGCTTCATTTTCAGCAATAATCTTATAGTTAACCTGTCTCATTGCTCCTCTTTCGCATAACCTTGTTGAGCAAAATAATTGAAATGTTCCCCACTGTATTTAAAGAAAAGTAAACAAGTAAGACAAGTAAACAAGTAAGACCCTCAAGATTCTTTAATGCAATACATTGAAAGGAAATATCAGATTGCTATCTTGTACAAGCTTTAGTTTTCCTAAATGACGCCATCCACTAAAAAGACTTGACCCTGCCACATACCTGTTTTAAACCAGCAAAGAATGGTTCAGAAGTGGAATGTAGTGCACTGGCTGATGGTGGTGTTGGAGGAGCTTTAGCAGAAATTCCTGCTGTTGCTAATAAGCAGGCCAGTACAGCAGATATGCCATAGACTCCAATCTTAAAAATAAATAACAGCAGTTAACTATTAATAAAATATATTGAGTGTACAGCTACTAAGAATAAAAACAAAACAGTTTCACTTACTACTATTGGGATATAATGAACTTCAGTAGCAATTACTGGTGACAATACGTTTGCTAAAAATATGCCAAATGGATTTGCTATGTAAAATAGAAAAAAAAAGTTACTTTGTAAACAGTCTGAAATGATGTGTTTGAGTTATCATCCATGTTTTGGGCTTCAATTTGGATTAGGCAGATAAAACAAATGAAGAAAACACACATGCCAGTAGGTTAGTAAGGTAAATGAACTGACCTAGTAATAGCTTGGTAAATATATAGTTCATATCAGGAAACAGAAAAAGAAAAGAATATAAACTGTTAAATGTACTTACACATGGAAGCAACCATATTTGCTGTAGCTCGCTGGTGCTCTGGGAACCACACAGCAGCAAGTTTGGCAGGTACAAATAGGACAAGTGGCTGTGCCATTGCACAAACACTCTGGCCCAAAAATAAATAAATCAAAGGACTCCACTTTATATTCATGAATGATACCAAACTTAGACAGCGTATTATACTACCCAACATGTTCAACCAAGAGCTGAGAATCACCTGCAAGAGAAGGAATTTTATAATGCATGAATAATATATACAAGTAGCAACATACTAAAACACGTTGATGGATCTCATCAAAATAACCAGTTCGACAGAATTGATAGTACATGAAATCTGTGAGAAACAGTAGAGGTATTCTACAGAAAATATTTAAAATTTGTCCAGCAAGGGGGAAAGACGTCTGCTTTGTATATAGCAAATTAATCTGAACATGAAGTGAACAGTTTTATCTGCCAAAAGATTGAAGATTCTGTTCTTAAACCAAACCTACCAATGTGCATTGCGCCAGTGCCATGTTGAACAGCAAAAAGTTTTCCCAGCACACTCGCCAGCCAGCATGCAAAAAAACTTGTCTCACCGCTAAGGTTAAAAACAGAGGTTTAGATACACGTCTTCTGCAGAAAATGTGAACACAATTTTCCACATCTGTGTCTATGCAAGTAACAAGAGCTGAAAATAATTTTTTGCCATACATAATGTATGGGCAGCTTAACTGCCTCCGGGCCGCCCATAGTAGAAAAACGGCCGGCCGGGAGCTCTCTAGATCTGAGCGGGCGTCTTTAGACGTCCGCTCAGACACACCCCCTCGCGCGCCGCTCGGCGTGCGGGAAATGGCTGTTATTTAAAAACAGGCAGCGATGCCTGTTGCCATACAAGCGAGTATGGGGTGAGATCGTGTGTATGGGGTGCCGATCGCCCCCCCTCCGCGGCCCCCCCCTGCCGTTGTCCCGCTGATCCCGGGCTCGGCTGTACCCGGTGCGAACCCGGGATGAGCATGTCACCTGTGTCACAGGGGATCAGAGGGAGATCGTTACACCAGCTCCCTCCGGTCCCCTCTCCTCTGCAAGAATGCGGAAGTGTTGTATAATACATCACTTCCGCATTCTTGTGTCACTCTCCAGCTTCAGAAGCTGGAAAGAAGCTGATGGAGCAGATTTGTGCTTCATCAGCTTCTTTTGGGGGGTCCTAGGTGACATTAGGGGTCTTGGAGACCCCTGATGTCTCCATAAAGAGGACCTGTCACATATTTTGCTATCACATAGGGGGGTTTTATTAGCCCCCGTATGTGATAGCAATAAAGTTTAGTGAAAAAAAAAAAAGAAAAAAAAATGTTAGTTCCCCCCCAAAAAATTTAAAGTTACACATAAAAAAGAATAAAAAAACAAAAAACAAGCAAAAAGCGCACACGTGCAAAAAAGACGACCATTACGCCGCACATGTTACATATCGCCGCGAACGTTGGAGTTGAGAGCAATAATTCTAGGCCCATCAATCACTGATAACACTAAACTGATGAGCGGTAAAAGCTTTTAAAGTGACGCCTATGGCCAATTTTGGGTATGGTAGTTTTCTGCGATTTCGCGGGTGCGCGCAATTTTAAAGCTTGACATGTTTGGTGTCTATTTACTCGACGTGACCCTGTCTTTTATATTTTAACATAATGTAAAAAAAAATTCTAAATTTTCTGTAATTTTTCTAATTATAGTAAAAAATAAAACCCCCAGTGGTGATTAAATACTACCAAAAGAAAGCACTATCTGTCCCCAAAAGAATTGTATAGAATTCATTTCAGTACAGCGTTGCATGACGGAATAAACGTCAGTCAAAGTACTGCAGCGCTGAACACTGAAAAGTGACCTGGCCAGGAAGGGGGTCTAAACACCTGGTCTTCAAGTGGTTAAAGCAGAAGTTCTGGCAAATAGTTACACAGCTAAGGTGATCTTTGTAAGCACTCCTGGCATTGTTATAGTGTCCTTACCCTGATCTGTATGTAAAATATAAATGGCAGCTCCGTTCCTGGTGCTGTATTGTGATATAGGATATGTATACAGGAAGTTCTACTAATTAGCGGAGAAGGTACCACTGTCACATGCACGTTTTGCCATGATGCTGTGGCTACATACCGGAAGTAGCCTTTTGACCAGTACCAGGTAAGTATAAAAGTAAGTGATTGTTTTAACATATTAAAGGATAATCTCTGGAATGTGTTTATTTTGCCTTTTTAATGATTGTTGAGATAGCTCAAACCCAACCCTAGAGCACACTGCAGCTTTACAAATTAAAGTAATTGGCCACGTAAAGGCTTATAATCACTACCTCTAAAGCACAAGGAACAAGCTGATGGGCTCCTGCTCAGTCCAAGCACAAGGTTTGAAGTGCATTGGAGCCATAAGAGAGGTATAATCAGCTGTTATTATGGTAAAGCAGGCTGAAAGAATAGATATGTTCAGACACAAAAACATGCATTATTGTTCTCTCCGTGCAGGACTTGAAGATGATTTTGCCACAGACCTAGAGATTTAGGATTATTTCTAAAGCATGCTATGTTATTTTCATCAATTTTACATCAATCAAAAATCAAGGATTCACAAATTAATTGCTTTACTTTGAATTTATTGACTGAAGATCATTTGTGTGTATGTATGTATATATCTATCTATATATACATATATAGATATATATAGATAGGGCATATCACCAAGATAATTCCTCCACAGAAACTCCACGTCATGCCAACAGATACTGAAACTCTCTTTCTGGTAATCGGATAGAGAACAGGCTAGGATGGATTGACCAAGGTGGACACAGGTGGGAGTCCCATAGGAAAAAGCACAGATATATACAGTATATAGAGATATATATAGAAGTATATATAGATCTATACATAGATCTATATATATAGAGATATACATAGATCTATATATATATCTATATATAGATATAATATGTAGAATGTTTGTAAAAATGGCTGAAAATGTTTACCTTCTAATAACGCTCAGATACTTATCGTTATTACCGAGTTATTACCGTTTTACAGATCATTTCATGACTTACTACATTAATTAAACATAATAAAATGGTAATTAAATGTTTAATTATTGTGTTTCCAGGAGAGGAATTCCAAGCACTGGATGGATGAAATGGATTTACAGTATGTACAGAATCAGCACTAAAGTGCGCTAACATCACATCCACTTGATACGGCCTTTTATTTTACCCGCACTTTTAAATACTTAACACACCATGACATTAAGGGCAGCTACAGAAAACTGTGTTTTCAAGCTTATCATTTCAAGTGCTTTGCACTAACACTGTGGCCTTTGTTGAGAGCAGGTATGGCTGCTACAGCCACTTGAACTGTCATGTTAATGACAGACCCTATTTAACCACTTAAGAGTGAAGGACTTTGCACTACTTTGTTCCACAGGATAGTTTTAAAATGGGACTAAGATTCAGTGGCCGGTTCCAGTCTCAGAATCTGCAGCTGGAAGTCTGCATATTTAAATCTTGCTAGGGCGTGCTCTATAAAAGCACAAAGCCCCTGCGTTAGTAGTAATAATAACTAGCACAATAACATATCATGACATAATTGTTAGTACTCCTGCACACGATATAACTAATTCAAATTTCTTCAAACTGTGGCTTTTTACAGCCTGAGGAAGATTGCATTAGGCATACTGGGTTAATTTCAGTGCTGGCTGGGATGACTGGAAGCAATAAAGCTACACTGCTAAGACAGCTAAACAAATTCTTCTTACTGCTCAGTCTGCAAAGGGGGATATGTGACAAGCAACAATGATTCTGAAGTCTCCTCCTATACATGTGTCAGTTCTTGATTGGAAATGTCACAGGTAGTACAGGGTCATATAATTATCCTGCACCATTTGTTTTTCTTTGTACACAATTCTCCTTACTGAACAGCCTGCAAAGAGGGACCTGTGACTAGAAACAAGGATTATAAAGTCTCCTCCTGTACATGTGTCAGCTCTTCTTGATTGGAAATGTCACAGGGAGTACAGGGTCATGTCATTATCCTACACCTTCAGGCCTCTGCTAAAAAGCTGAATATGAAGAGGAATTTCACCTTTCAGCATGACAACGACCAAAACCATACCTCCAAACCAACAAAAGAATGCCTTCACCAAAAGAAAATCAAAGTTTTGGAATGGTCCAGCCAGAGCCTGAATCCAATTGAAAATCTGTGGGTTGACCTGAAGATGGCTGTGCACAGGGGATGCCCTCACAATCTGACAGATTTAGAATGCTTTTGCAAAGAGTGGGAAAAGATCCCCAAGGCAAGATGTGTCATGCTGATAGACTCCTACCTGAATGCTGTCATAAAATCAAAAGGTGCTTCAACAAATCAGTTTAAGGGTGTGCATATTTATGCAACCATGTTAATGTAAGATTTTTATTTTAGAAGTGATTTATCTTTCTCTGATTTTTTTTTTAACATATCAAAAACCTGGCATTTTGCAGGGTTTGTAGAATTTTTATATCCACTGTATATACTCTAGATCTTATAGGCCATGATAAGAGCTAAAAGTGCTTGTATTTACTGCAACACACACTTACTACTGAACTCCAGGCACAAGAATGTTCATTTAAAAATATTTCTCAATAGCCATAAATCCACTTTGTGTGCACTAAATGCATTTGCAAACCCAATTACCTTTGTAAACCATCATCACTCTTTTGCAAATAGCTTGTGCCAAAAATGCATATCCCAAAGCTGCGGGAGGGATCAGCAGGCCCACCCACTACAGGCTACCTGCAGAAAACTACAGTAGTGGGACGGATACAAGACCAGTCACCCTGCACATAGAGAGAAAGCAGCAGTGACCAGTCTTTATTACAAAAAGCTCCTCCACTGAGACAAAGTTTCAAACTGGATTACTGCACATATCTGGAAGAAATACACAAAGCATACCAAGATTTAAATAAGACTACACAGGCTTCTTGTATTTAGAATATTTGCATATTTGCTTATGCTGCAGTTCAGCTTTACCTACTAGATTTAAGTGGAATGTGAAAAGACATTGAGAGGAATTTATCAAAACTGGAGCCCATGGCAACCAATCAGCTTCTCTCTTTCATTTTGAAATCTTAACCGAACAAGCTGAAGAGAGAATCTGATTCATTGCCATGGACAACTGCTCCAAATTTTGTCTGCTCCAGCCTTGATACATCCCCCCATTGAGGTTTATAAGAGAACAAAAGCAGTAAAAAATAAATAAATAAAACTTACGGCATATTTCAATCCCAGAGTGTCCAGGAGCCATGAAGCAAAAAAACCAGTTGGTATTGATACAATGAGGTAGACAAGGGAAAGATAGTTAATAGTATCCAGAGAACAGTTAAAGAAGCTCGCAGATAAATCAGCCACTGGAGCAAAGGTGATCCAAATCTGTAAAATAAAACATTTGGGAATGAATTGTAGAAATCTGTAGAAGAATGGTTAGCACTTTGGGGGAATGGTATGACCCCATTCCTCCAAGCCAAGCAGACCTTCTGGTACTTGGCTAACCCCAGGAATTATACACAATGCAATGTTCAGTGATCAGGAAGTACAGGAAGCTTGACAAAAGGTAAACAAAACAGTACCTTTGATTCCAGAAGTGCAGCTGTCTTCGGAGGATGACTGGGACTGGTGTTTTGGATGCAACATTGTCAATTGGACAAGCAGATGGGTCACTGCAGGCAGCATTGCGCCTGAGCGGGGGGCGGGGCGGGACATCTAGAGACGCCCGCTCAGATCGAGGAAGGTCCTGGCCGGCCGTTTTTCTACTACGGCCGGCCCGGAGGCAGTTAACAATGCTTAAAAATATACAAACAGTTTACTGAAAAACTACAGATCATACTGTATATTATAACTTTATTAAACCTTGCTGCTATTACTCTTGGAGGCTTTCTGCTGTATTTTTTTATATACTCATCTTCAGACCGGTCAAATGACACACGGGGTCCTTTTCACATGTTCACCCGCTGGCAGTAGGTGATCCTCAATGATACAGACAGAGGCACTGACTCAATCATTGCATTATTGTGAGTGCAGGGTGCCCCTTAGGTGGCGGGTGCAGGACACTCCACACTCCCTGGATGTTCTAAGTCTTCTAGGGTCAGTGAGTCATCCAACCTGTAAGACTGAGGTCATCTAGTGTCAAAAATTAATTTCTGTGGGGTATGGGTAGTACCAGAGAGGTGATAAGTGTTGCAGTCAAAGCTGTTTTTATTTTTATTTTCAAAACCACTGCTGGGGAACTATTTTTTAAATTTGCCTGAAGTTGGGCTTTAATTTCTGTTATCTAGATTGGCATAATCTAGCAAAACTACAGGTTGCTTTCAATGTTTCTTTTCCTTAGAACCACATACTCGCCTTTACCTTTTGCTCCATTCTGCTGCTGCGTGTGAGGAAAGTAGCCTTATGTTAGCTCCAGGTTGCCCTAGTTAGAGATAGGACAGGGCTGAGGTCTCTCCTCACCACACTGTGATAGTGCTGGGCCTATCACCAAGCACCCATGATGTCACATAAGTTAAATGGGAATGAGTCACATGCTCCTCCATACCTAAAAGTACTGGGTATTTTCTTTGCTCATGTACAGCTTAACGGAGTTGTGGGGAGGGAAGAAAAGGTGAAGAAAAGTAGAAGAAAATGTACTTCTGGAGGGGAAGGGGAGGTTGTTAAAAGTAGATACATAGGGGTCTATTCACAAAGCTGCCGAGGGCAGCCGAGTGAATGTCGAACAGCAGTGAGAGAATAGCCGAATGCCACCGAGCGGAAAAAGAGTGAAATAAGTAGAAAAAAGTTAATAGAAAACGATTGTGCGGAGCTAGCAGTGACAGCTAGCTCCGCCCAATAGTTTCCTATTGTCCGGCGGCTCTGCTGCTGTAAAAAAAAAAAAATTTAAAAAATCTCCCGGGCGCTCTGGGAGCCCCCCGCTCCTGGCCGCCAAGAAGAGAAACCCCCACTGTGTCTTTTTATTCTTTATTCTGACACGGAGCGATGTCAGAATAGAGAAAAAAAAAAAAAA